GTGGGGTGAGGTGGGGTGAGGTGGGGTGGGGTGAGGTGGGGTGAGGTGGGGTGACGCGTGGTGAGGGAAGCGGAGCTCACCCTGCGAAGAAGTCGAGCGCGCTGGGCGCGTCGCCGATGAAGACGACGCGGCCGTCGGCGACCAGCACCAGCTGGTGGAACAGCGCGAACAGCTCGGACGACGGCTGGTGGATGGTGCAGAGCACGGTGCGGCCCTGCAGCGCCACCCGCTGCATCATGTGCACCAGCTTGTGCGCGCTGTACGCGTCCAGCCCCGTCGTCGGCTCGTCGCAGAACAGCAGCGGCGGGTCCGTCAGCATCTGCCAACGCAACAACGACATACTTAGAAGCAGGCGGGCAAGCCTCTCGCTCGAAAATATAGGATGGAAAAATATTTCTAAATAGTCAAACATTCGATGAAAAATGATGTATTGAAAGATAATGCATTTCATAATATTAACAATTAACGTATTTTAAATACAATATTTTCATACTAGTCTCAGTGTTTGAAAATAGCTAGTAGATAAGGTATTAATACAAATGTATATTTGCACTATTTAGATGTTTATTTTCAGTTTCTTTAAACGTTTAAATATTCAAATTGAAAGTATCTAATGTGTGCATTAGATGTTGACGGTTTCGCTGATTAATCCAATAAACAACAATTAAAATATTCAGTTAATAGTGACCTAGTGAAAAACCATGTTCTTAACTTTCAAAACGTTTTTTTAAACTTTCTATTGTTAAGCAAATGGAACATTGCTTAACAATTGAACAATGGTAACAATGGAAATGGTTTCAAGTGGGCCTCTTCAGAGCTAAAATAACATTAAAATATTTGACAAGTCATGAATATTTGTGAAAATGTCGTAACTAAAATTTTTTGAAACATAACGTAAAAACATTGGCACTACATAGTTTCATTTGGGTGGAATTGAATTAGTTTTCTAGAGATTTTTTTCTGTAATGTAAACAATAGTAAAAGAGTTGAAATAGTACAGTAAATACGCGTTAACAGGAATTCCAAGGTACGAAAATAATTGTTGTTTTTGTTGTAAAAATTAGTGTCAATCGATTATTATACACATGCGTATTATGTTTCTCTGACACATTTTTTTGTGTTTTAAAGCGAAATTCATATTAAGCGAGATGGCATTATTTCAAAAACGATATAGCGCCATTTTTTCAAAACGACATAGCCCTGGAATACATTTAACTAAGAAAATGAACATTTTCGACAAATATTTAAAAACTTAAACAGAAGGGTTCTAATATTTTTCCATGATTTCATAGATACAATAATATACCACGAAGTCGTTTCCGAACTATTTTAATACTCGTACCATCCGGTTTGTAGGCGATATGGTTCGCATAATTGACACAAAACTGAATACCCGCGCTCTTGCTATTATTCTTGAGGGCAACAGCTAGTAATGTTCAAGTGTCGAAGGTTGAAAGAGTCTCCCTTTCAAAGGGAGGCTGTATACCTGCGCTGAATGGACTACCATGTTTCCGTAAACCTGGCGCAGGTAGACGGGTCCCGTCGAAACGATGAGCAAATTTCTTCCCGCAATCGGCAGCCTCCGTGGCGCAATCGGCTAGCGCGTTCGGCTGTTAACCGAAAGGTTGGTGGTTCGAGCCCACCCGGGGGCGCATTTTTTGACTTTCTCGTCTTCCTTCGTAAGAAGAGAAAGAACCGTCGTCGTTCGCCACAAAATTGCGGGTTTTCAACAGGAAAAATGTTATTGCCGGGCCCTGGTAAGGAAATAGTTGATTATTCCTGTTCCTATGTAGTAATTGCTTTCTTTAACAATTCGTGTAGTTAGAATGCATGCTTTGTGTGTCCTTGATGCCGAAAAGTCGAATTACGGCAAAACGTCCGTATGTACGTACTATCGCCAAAACCATTCAACAGATTTCCTCCGAAATTATTATACCTTGATCGAGAAGAAGAGGTAGTCTAGATCTAGACGTCGTCTGAGATTGAAACGGATATTTTCATTTGTCGAGGGACTTTACATAAAGTTGAATATTTTCAAAATTTTCTAAAAAATGGCTCCAAATTTGTGGATTAAACTTCATCCTGGGTTGGCGTAGAAAACGCTTGCAATGATGGTACAGGTATCATTGCCAATGAAATCGCTAATTTTTCGAAAATAGGATAAGTTTAAATTTTTCGCCAGTCCTACATCTATAATATTAAAGACAAAGTTTTTTTCCTTAATAAAATCTGTTCCTAAAGACAGATTTTGAAATAAGGTTAATTTTTTGCGTAATTGTTTTAGGGAAATGCAGGCAGTTTGTAAACATTTTTTTCTTAAAAATTGATAGAATTTTTTATTTAAATTTTCCCTTCACATTAGAGAACGGTAAAAAAGCAATGCTGACCATATTTCCAGCAAATCCAGAATTGTTGAAAATTGCGTAAAATTAACACAAAATTAACCTTTGAAACCTATATTATGAAGATAGATATTAAATGTGTCTCAAATTAAATATATTCTACAAAATAAAATATTTAAAAAAGGTCATGTACAATTTTTTAAAGGAACAAGTTGCTTTCAGTAGTTTCCCGTTGAAGTTATGGCTAATTTAAAAAAAATTAAAAAACTGCTAAATATAGTTTCTAGGATAGAACAAGTGACACTTAAAAGAATAGTGCCGCCTACAATTTTAGTAAAATTCCTCAAATTCTCTAAAATTGCAACAGTTAGAGATAACGCGAGAAAAAAGTATCAGATGTTGAAACATATTTCATTTGGCATGCGCAAGTGTAAGTGTAGTTCATTGGCATGCGCAAGTGTAAGAGTAGGGGCAAAATAAAGAGGAGTGCTGATCACACACCCGCCTCCGTGGCGCAATCGGCTAGCGCGTTCGGCTGTTAACCGAAAGGTTGGTGGTTCGAGCCCACCCGGGGGCGAAGGTTTTTGTCACATCCGTTTAAGGGATTTCGATGTCTCTAACTAATGTACTTTCGATTTGTGAATTCTCGTAATTCGTAGGGAAGGTTGTGATCGACTTCCACACTTGAAGGTTGTGAATGACATCGCTGCATTTGTAAAGTATGTTCAATGCTGCTGATAGTAGTGGTTTTAAAACGTGATAAGAAAGTGATTTATGTTTATTTCGGGTAGGTTTACGTGTTTGTTAAAATATATAAATAAATCTCGAACGTCCAACGAGAATACGTTTGCCATGTACAACTCATGTTACACACTGCTCCAATTTAGATATGTGCTCCTGTATTATTCTTCAGTATGAATAAACATACGCATTCCGCTCATACTCCTAATTGCACGTAAGGTGTTCATAAATAATAAATTTACCAATATACCACCTTCATGCGTTGCAAACGGATAAACCTACTTAGCAAAACATAGCATGCACGATTCCAGATGAAATAAAATACCCTCTTACATCTCTGCAATAAATAAAATATTTTAACAAGAACAGGTTTCACAACTACAGCAATGTTATGGTGTAGTGTAAATAGAGAAAGGCCTACATCTGTTCGCTTCATCTCGTATTTTTTTAACAAAAAAATTAAAAAAGTCTCATTGAAATGCAACTCTAGCTGTTCCACAACATTATTTTAAACAGATTGAAATAATATCGGAAACGTTCAAACAGTACTGTAGTTCCAACAACGTTCAAGGACCACAACTGAGAAAGTAGTACTTACCAAACCGCTTAAATATGTAATGGCGTGAAATAATTAAAAGTTATGTCTGAAAGAGATATTGGAGTTATTAAGTTCTGGCCAAAACAATATATAAGACACCAGTAATGACCACTGTATGAGTAGCCACTTATAGCAGAGAATATGAAAAAGAAGAATCGGAAACTTTCCACTTGCTTCAAACTTGCAGGACACGGGATTTTACCATCTGGTAGCAAGATATAAATCTAAGGTAATTTATTTCTATGTACTTCTGTGATAAATAAATAAGAAGTTCAATACATCTTATTAATTGCATTTCAATAATGCAATATAAATTGAAACCTTTTTTAAGTTCAAGAAACTAAAAAAACGTTCAGAAGGTAGAATATGGAATAGCCATTAAAGAGTAAAGAATCTGTCCTAAATCAAAATTTTGCAATTTTCAAATGGCCACTACTGAATTAAAATCGAGATTTGGAAACAAATTCTTAAAAAATATAACAAATAATAAATTAGCCAGTTTTAGCCAACGCATTTACGCAGAAAGAGGCATGCTAATCGCCCATTAAGATTTACATAACGAATTAAATACTGTAGCCCATCACTATTAAGCAACTACGAAGCTGTTGCTGCTTTTGAATTAAGACAGTTATGGAAATAAATTATTAAAAATATAACAAATAAAAAATTCGCAAGTTTTTGCCAAAGCATTCATGCCGTAAAAAGGTATTATAATGGCCCATTAAGATTTACATAACGAATTAAATACTGTAGCCCATGAATATTCAGCAAACTACGAACACATGGACGCTGTTGGTGCTTTTGAATTAAGACAGATTTTCTCGCCTCCTTCTGACGAACGATTTCGTCCAACATTCCGGTCCATCGACCGAGGGCGGGCGCACAACTACGGCAGAGCCGATGCGCGTTCGCGCCTGCGCCAAACACGTCAAAATCGTGCCTTAAAAGGAAGGATCCAATTGGCTTAAAACATTTGTTGGTCTTGTGCGTTGTCGGG